TCTAAAACCCAAAGATTCTCGTAACCCTAATTTCCAATACTGAAAGACAACGGAAATCCAAAAGACAACGAAATATAGGATTTACAACAAAAATACTGAAAGCGGAATGCTGAATGGAAATCAGAAACGCCGAATTTCAACATGATACTGATTCAACCCTAATTCGTGTAACATCATAAATCCGAAACTTAATCAATTATCGGATTAGTATTACTCAATCGGAACTCAAATAGCAGCATACCGGAAGAAAACAGAAATCCGAATTATAAGTCTGAATACCGAATTGAACGGAAATGCCGAACTCAATAGAGTACCGAAAAGAAAAAATTTTGCAACTTTGAACTTGATAATAATTCAGCGCCGATTTAGAAGGTCAAACAAATAATCTACTTCTAAACGGACCGGCCTCACTGCTGCGAGGCCTGGCCATGCCCTGAACCGTCCAGATGGACGGTTCAGCCCCAACCGGCGGGCGGCAGCCTCAAGAGCGGCGCCAGGCCCAAACGATAATGCCGTTTGGGCCTGCCCGTTGGGTACTGGTCCAAGATCAGGCCCTGAGGGCCTGTACTATCCCAAGGTCGGGCCTTTAGGCCCTGATGTGTCCCTCCGACCCTAAGTCGGGTCCGGTAGGGCCCGTGTGCGTCGAAGATGTAACAGCTCCCTGCAGGTGAGACAGTGAGGAGGACAACATCTTCTTCTTCTTCTTCTTCTTCCTGTTCTCGCCCTCCTTCTCCTTCTTCCCTCCTCCTTCTCCTTCTTTTTCTTTTTCTTCGTCTTCCTCTTTCAGAGGAGAGAGAGAGAGAGATTACAGGCAGAGGTTACATCGGGCTATGAGGCCCAGTATCTGATTTGACATTTTTGTGGCAGACGTTGATTGGACATTCGGCAGGGAGACTATTTTTGGACTTCGCTATCGTGATCTTGGTCTTCTCCCTCCTCTCCATCTTCGTCTCGCCTCTTCCCCCATCTTCTCATCTGTGGTATCTCCCCATGTGGGTGCTCAAGGAGGGATCTTTCGTCTATGTATGCGGTCCCCCCCCTCTCTCTCACATCTGTGGTCTATGATGGGGTGTCACGTCAGAATCTGACAGGCCAGGTCATATCTTTGAGTCTTCTGCTGCGGGCTATTTTTGTATGTATCTGGATGTACATTGCTTGTTGATGCTTTGCTGACGCTGCATTGTCCATTCAAGTCCTTTTCATCACTTTGCGGATCCTCGGCTCAATATACATCGATGATCGCTCTATCGAGCATGTATCAGTAGGTATCAGAGCTGCACCAGTGAAATAGGACAATCAGACCTGACCAATCGATCGATTGATTGGTTGATTGATTGATTGATTGATTGATTGATTAATCAAAATATTGATTGATTAATTGATTAATTGATTGATTGATTGATTGATTGATTGGTTGATTGATTGATTGGCCGATTGATTGATTGATTGATTGTTTGAGTAATTGATTAGGAAACATTAACCTAATTAATCTCCTTTTTTTTTGCTACTCTGCCTAGCTCTCGAAATTCCGATTTTTTTTCTTTCTGAATTTCAGAATTCTCTCTTTTGCGCAAATTCGTTTGTTTCTAAATTGTGAGGAATGTGACCTCACGGGGCCCTAGCCAACATGCACATGATATGGGCTGTGGCCCCCAGCAAGCATCGTGCCCACCCTAAGTGAAGGTGGGCATGAATATCCACAAGAGGCCCTTATCTCAGCATTTTCCAATGTCGGTATCCGACAGTTGCAGCACGCCAGTTGGTTGAAGTGCAACGTGAGCCTCTCCCTGGGCTCCTTCCAGAGCAGCAGCTATGTCAAGCAGTTGAGCCCAGGGCCAGGTGGTTGTCCCCTGGGCACACGCAGTGTGAGGCCGACACATCACGAAGTGGCCGCGGGAGAATCAGAAAGCAGCATTGTCGTCACAGAGGCCCAGCGAGCCAATGAGAAGACGGCAAACACTTGGAGCCTGGAGGCTGCCTGGAAGTGCACAACCAGAAAGGGCCCAGGCCCCCAACTGTCGGACAGGGCCGGGACACAGACACTAGGGCCCGACCGAAAGCTACTGGGAGCTTCCTCAGCCAGGCCCAAGCAGCCAAACAGGGCCGAAACTTCCATATAGGAAGGTCGCTGTCTCGGGGGAGGGTATTCTGGCCTAGGCAGGGAATGTGGACACGCTGCTGCGTTGCTGCGCAAGTGTCTGCATGTGCGCTGCTGGCCGGGGCACATGCGGGCACTAAGAGGTGAGAGGGGCGCTACAGGGCAGTGGGCGCACGGCAGCCATAGCTGGGCTGCAGGGGCGCATGCGGGTGATGGGCGAAGGGTCTTCGGGTAGAAGGCACACGAGTGGGTGGTCAAGGTCTGATGAGGGGAGGAGAGAGAACGTACCTGGTGTATGTGTGAGGTCGGCATTGGTGTTGACATCATGTACATTGGTATTCAACGTCGGAGTGATCCTGTTGTAAGAACGTAGATAGGCTAGATAGGCTTAGGCTCGGCGATGGGCGCCAGACAGAGTTGAGCAATATTGGATACTGTGTTGGTGGGGCCTGAGAGCGATAACATTGGCACACGAGTTCACTGCTTTGCTCTTATTTGGATGGAATCTTGGTGCATATGAGCTTTCTGGTTGGTACATGACTATCTGGACATCTGTGTGATTTTGCCACTTGGTTTTCTGTCGATCGCTCTTGCTCATATTCCTTGCAATTTAGTATCGGAGCTGGTTCGAGTTCGCCATTACCTGGCGCTGGCGACATTGTTACTTGGTACGCTGACGATGCTTCTACGTAGTAACGATACAGTGGCACTGGCATGAACAGCCACTCCCGGGTAGAGGGGAGTTGGCCGGAAGGCTGTGGCACAGCGTGAGAGCTGTGGCGACAGCGGATGTATGTGTGATGATGAGAGCATGCTGATGTGGCATTTTGGCTAAGGTGGCACTGCATTGCGTTGTGGGTGGTCTCGACGCTATGACCGGTCATCAAAATGCATGTCGGCTCAATTGGTGAGAAATCTGTGGTTGAGGGCAGCCATCTTCAGGTACGTTGTTCCCTTACCTTATCTTCCCTCTCAATCTCTTCTTACCGTGAGGAAGTGAGTCCAACTTGAGTGTCCTCTTTTGGTTAAGGACTCGTGAGAGATCTACCTTGAGAGTCGGCATTCTTCCTTGGCAGGAGCGGTCTACCTTAGCATGAGAGGGTGGTGCCTCTAAAGGGCCCTGGTCGAAGCACGGGTCATGGTGTCTGTTACATACTGATGCCACACAGATCCCTTTCGGACCCGACCACTAGGCTAAGGGGTACTTAGGCCGGCCCAGCCAAAGGCCGGACCTTTTCTCCCGGTAGGCCGCCTTGAGGCCACCGGTTGGCTTCCTGCAGCAGACCAGGCATAGGCCCAAACGACATTACCGTTGGGCCTGGCGGCACCCTTGAGGCTGCCGCCCGCCGGTCTGATCTGAATCGTCAATCTTGACGGTTCAGGTCACGGCGCGTTGAGGCAGCATTGAGGCCAACCGGCCCCGGGCCGATACTTAGGCCGGTCCAGCGGTCATTCCGGCATCTTTGGGAAGCGGCACTGTGGAGCGGGCGCTGCCCTATTCTGGGTTCAGCACAGCACTGGGAACTGCAGCGCTAAGTTTAGCGCACTGCAGTAGAGAGGAGCGTGGAGGGGACTTACCTGACTGCCGCCGTGAGCGCCATAGCTCCAGCGGCGCAGTTATCTCCAGCAGCAGCAAGGCGCCACCTTTCAGTTACAGGTAGGGCCTGGGCTACTCGCCAGCTCCGCCGATGCTCTGCCCCTCCCAGGACTTCTTCTACTATCTCTGCCCCTCTCAGTCCCTCCTTCATCTTCTTCTACTTCAGACTTCTTCTTCTTCTTCTTCAGACTTCTTCTCGTTTTTCTTCTTCAGACTGGAGACTACTGACACGAGTTGGACAGAGATCAGTGATTGGACTTCAGTGGTAGGAGGATGTGATACTTACCGGATTCAAGACATTGGAGATAGTTGGGATTGATAACTGGCGGCATCACAGATCGGACATCGGTTACATTAGGATTCTGTACCTCCGACATTGGTGACTTATATTCACGACATTCTGATTTTGTTCGGTAACATTTTGGGGCTACCATATCGGTGGCCTTCTGGATTCTATCTCAGTGACATCTGGCGCTGTCCATATCTCCCACCGCCCTCGTCTC